TACAGTTATGTTTGGGACAAATACAATTTCCAAGAAACAAACTATGTTTACGAACTATGTTCAATCCAAACTTATTTTATTTATAACAATCCCGACTGTGGTTGTCAGAAACATCGTTTATGTTTCTAATAATGCAAAGTCTGTTTACCTCAATCTCAAATCTTAACGAAAAGCTCAAAAATCAGTATTCAAACTTATTAAATTTGAATCACACATCGAATAAACATAATTTTTTTCTACGTGTAATTACTTGTTTGTAAAGTAGCATTTTATTTTTTTATACTAAACTTTCTTTGTATTAATAATTTCAAAGCATTCAAAGATAAAATACATTTCACATTATATTCTTATTCTATTTGCACTTTATTAACTTTTATATATTTTGGATTTTGATTTCTCCGTCCAAACATGAAAATAGCTCTTATTCCTCACCTTCAGATATGTTCGGTTATCTTATCAAAATGAAGTTAAAAATTATTTATAAAAGAATTAGCATTTTTGTCAGGATGCATTATGCAGGTGTCGTCAGAAAATAAACTGCTTTTAAATAAAATAAACAATAATATTAATATTAAATAATTTCCTATAATTTATGTGTATACCACATCTTATTGATATAATATATATATGACTTTTCTAACAAGTCAACTCAACTCATAAATTAAGTTCACGGTGCGTATGAGTGTCTTAATGTCAATGTATTTATGTAAAATAATTTCGTACAAAATTTATAAAATTTATTTTTGAAACATATTGCAATGAATGAAATTTAAATTCTTTTCTGCTGTCATATGTGTCATAAAATTTCACATTAATTACATTTCAATTGCTGCTTAATAGTCACACGCTTTCTCTATTTGTTCGCTTTGTTATTGTTTTCAAATAACTTCCGCCTCCAGCTTTTTATTGAGTGTGTTGGCGTTTCATTAGAATACACAATCAATTTTCCATTAATTGCACATGAATTTTAAAATTATATATTTTTTCCTACATACGAGTACACTTAAAATTATACATAATTGTACAAACATATTATTGTGTATTTTTAAAATTTTGTATACAAAGAAAATTTTTGAGCCTAAAACGTTTAAAAAACAAAAAAGAACTCTCCGCCTACAAAATTACACAAAAAGGTGTCTGGAAAATTTCCAACTGCTTATGCAACAAAACTTAATTTTCTCGTTAAAAATTATGTTGCACTAAAAGCAATTAATATGCAATTAAATGCATAAAACTTGCAGTGCAACTGAAATATCTGTTTCAACTCAAAATATATTTTTGTGTGTCAATAGAATAGAAAGTACGCCAAGCTGTGAGCTTGGAGCACCTAAAAATAAATTGGCGTAGTCCATCTAAATGCAGAAATAAATTTTGCCTTTCCCATTTCGAATGGCTCGGCTCTGGTGTATTTTTTACTTACATGCCACGTTGTCACAGAACTTCGAACAAACTTTATGCACATCATTTATGACAGATTTTTTTTTAAAATACACTTCGAAACATAATTTTAATATTTAGCCAAGATATTTAAAGGATTTATTTTTAAAAACTACAACAACCTTGCTCGCCGAGGAAAATGCAGCACAATATGTAAACGAGGAACAGCCGGCAATAGGAACATTTTCCAGCATCTCTGTGTGTATGCTGTGCTGTATGGAACAGGGAAATGTGTTCAAAAGAAAATCGCGTATAAGACAAATTATAAGAGTTTTCCGTTTGTACATTCACAGTGTTGCTGTTCTCCCCTGAAAAAGTCAGAAGCTGCTGGATTGCAGACAAATGCCAAATATTTAAATTAATAACCGATTGCTTGTCAAGAAGACAAGATAATTTTTTAATTAATGAAACTGAAAATTTAATTAAATTATTTAGTTTTTATATAAAAGCCTTCTCTAGTCGTACTGCAATACTCAATAATATGATAATATTGATGTATAGCATATAGAGTTTAAAAAATTCACAAAATTTTCTTTACTTATAAAAAAATATATTATATAAAATAAATGTGCATTGCTTAGGACAAAAATATTTAACAACATATTATATTAAAAAATTGATATAAATTTTATAGTAATTTTTTAAACAAGCTATTATATATTAATAAATATTCCCATCAGAGAAAAATTTGTTAAAAAATATATGAGGTCACAGATTTAATATACATATTAACCTACATATATTACATATATTTTACATATTCCCAAAAATAATGGGGAAGCCAATAAAAAATTATTTTTTCATTTTAACTTGTTATTGAAATGCAACGCTGAAGAGATTAATAAGCATTAGGTAAAATTTAGATTCCATATAAAATATATTTCATCTAAAGATACCATCCTAGTTAGTTCCTTGTTAAAAAAGGTTTCAACCATTTATATTGGCAGTCCTTTAACGTATCACGAAAATATTATTAGATTTTAACTATATATACTCAAATCACAATGATTTATTTTGGGGAGGGTGATGGTCTTTCCTCTAAAGAACTGAATATACCCAAATATTATAGGTTTTTCTGTTAACTATAGTATCTTTTAAGCACATAAGTTAAAGCGTAGCTTGATTCGAGCAAAAAGTTCAGTAGATATATATTCGTTATCTAAAATTATATATATTATATATATTATTATCTAAAATTATATGCAAATGATTTTGATTTCTACTTAACTCTGAGAGCGATGACAACATAATACTTGTTTTCTCTGACTATATGAATAATTTGGCCATGAAGAATTCTTTAGAAGTGCAAGTAAGCACATATTAAAATCTATGAATTTATTGCCATGTGATAATAACAATCCCATAGTTTATAGAGGTAATATTCTGCAAGGAGTAATATTTACGTCTAAAGCAAATTGAACTATAAACTCCCATACATATTACGTATGATTGTTCCAATTTAATTGAGAACGCATAAACTTTGTTCTGATAAGGTGTTTACATTTTTAATTCAAAAAAAAATGAATAGATTATATATAGGTAGATAATTAATAACTTATATAAAAGATGCATTATTGAAGCTCTACTTTTGGTCTAGATCGTTTAACAATTGAACAAACGACGAAAAGTTTACTTTTAACAAAAATAGGGGAAATAAATTCATTGGTTAATTAATTTAGTTAATTTATTGAAATTTGGCTGACCACACAACGCTGTATAGAGTATTGCCAAGTACTTATCATCAGTGGTCTTAGAAAATTATCGAATTTTATTTAATTAGTTTATAGTCCATATGTAATTTGTTTGGACTGCAAGTGCCAGGCTTAGAACTCGTGCTTGTCAAATTATGCGTTGACTAATCGAGTTTATCCAGAATAGCCAAGGCTGCACAACTTTCAGTGCTCTAGTTCCAGGTTATTCTAAGTAATTGGATAGTGACAGTACAAAATCAATAGCAGCAATAATTTTAATTCAAATCGAACATTTCTTCCCTTGCAAATAAGGGGATTATTCAAACATTACTATTGATTATTCAATATCATACTATAGAATAAATATTTAATTGTGTTATTATAATATCTTTTAAGAAATATTTAAGAAAATTCTCTTCTTAACAGGAAAGAACGGAAATTTGAGAAGGGATTTCCACTACCTCTTTATTGTTTATTTTAATAAGTTTACTGAAACCTCAATAAGCATATCTTTTAAAATAAAAAATTATTATTGACCTATTGAAACTTTTTAAAGTTTTTGAAAAACTTTTCTCCAAAAACCTAAGTATATAGACAAAAAAAGGGTGACAATATGACCTGGACAGTTCAAATTAAACTAAAAAATAATTTAGTATCAGTTTAAATATAATAAACTGATACTAAACTGAACCTTAATTCTAAACTATGAATTGAACGGACTTATTTTGAATTAAGGCAATGCAATTTCACAAATTTATAAATCTAGTTGACTATTGAGTATTGAAATTGAGTATTTATACACTTTTATATTAAAAACAAATATAAGAACATTAAAAATATAACAAACGATTTTCAAACACCTCATTAAGATTTTATTAACTCAAAAACTAACACTGTTTCTGCTTTATATTAAAAAAAATAAAAAAAAACATTTTTTATTTATTTGTAAGGTGATCGAAATATTTAAGCAACATGTTACCAATATCATCTATTCTTCCCAATTTAATAATAATTTCTTATATTTTGAAAACATAAAACAGTTAGTATGCTCTATTTTAAGTACCACCAGTTATTGTTTTAAAATTGTTGTGTAGTACACATTTCAAATATGTTTAGCTTTGACATCAGTTTTTCTTAACTTTATATAAGCAGTTCAAAGTTTGTCCTTAAGTTTGTGAATTAAAACTTAAACTCCATTTTCATATAACATCATTTTTCAAAGGAATATGGTCAAAATTTTATTTTGATCTGTAAATAGATTCTTTGTGCAGCAGCTATTTTAAGTTGACAACGCAATCAAAATGCACAACAATTTAAAAACTTTGTGGATTGTACTGGACTTGTATTTGTTTTTAGTACATTGTTCACTTTATAAGTTTTTTACTATATAAAGTATCATATAATCACAAACTTTAATTATATCACTTATGCCATACGACATTATTATACAAACTACCCTGTATAACTAAACACCGTATGTAATATTTGCATATAAACTAGCATACACACAAGTTCATGTAACAAAAATGTTACTCATACGCACACGAGCACCAATTTCCATATAAAATTTTCGGATTGGCAAAATTTGTAAACACAAGTCGGCAATTGTGAAATGAAATAACCTGTTGCTTATTGAATTGTTGGTGTCTGTTGCTTAAAGGCACACCTTTAAGAGAATTGTGAAGAATGAAGAACAGTTGTGAAAATGAATGAGAAATTAATTGGAATTATAAACAATTTAATGTTAATGTACGGAAATTTTTAACATATTTTTCAGCGCAATGAACTATAATAATTAAATAAAATAATTACAAAATTGTAAAAAAAAAATTTTTTAAATAATTAAGGAAGAAATTTTTGGTTTAAACTTACTGCAAACATTTGCTGACGTTGTTCGGACAATAGTTTCTCACTGGATCCTTTCAATAATTCCGCCAGTAGCTCTTGTGTTGGTAATATTTTAGCTGCCTGCTGCTGATTTTTGGATTTATTACCCGCTTTTGTTGTGTGGTCCAGGCTGTGATTTTGCTGATGCAAGTGCTGGTGCTGAGATTTGTTGGACTTGTCATTACTCATTGATTGACTGCGTTTATTGTGATGCGTTTTAATTGTTGGCGCTTCAGATGCTGCACGTTTCATTTCGCGCGGATGATGTGCCTGCTGTTGAGTATGCGACTGCTTATTGTCCTTATCACGTATTGAATTATCTAATGTGCTTTGGTAGCGCTTCTCGTGCGGATTAATTTTGTCTATGCTGGCACTATTGCTGCCGTGGCCAATATTTTTGCTGACATTCTCGATTTGCGAGGGTGTCGAGGCGGCACGTGTATGCGCGGGTACAGGCAAAAATGTACTTGTTTTACGTACACGCATTGAATTTGAATGTTGTGGCATATTACGACCACCTGCGTCATCGTGCGCGCCACGCTGGCGACGTGGTTGTGATGTGCTGTATATATGAAGGATAAGCAAAATAGATATTAATGTATATGGCATGTCAGTGGAAGGACAAAATATTCTAAAATCAAGTCTAAAAAATTAAGGTAAACAACAACAATTTACAACTTTGAAAAGGAATAATACGAGTGCTAAATATTCCGAAGTAATTAGGTAGCAACTAGGAGCAGAGATCAATAAGGAGTTTTTCTTAATATTTAAATTAGACATAATAAACATTTATATTAAAACCGACTTTAAACGATTAAAAAACAAAAATATAATTTGATAATTTCATTAAATGACTATATATAGTAACTAAAAGCGTGAAGCAATTGCACGATATATCTGAATCGGCTACAAAAATTTGGTATGACATTACTGCCGTTAGTTTTATCACAACTATTACGTGTTACTCTTTTATATATCTTAATCTTGTTATTAATTTTGTTATTGAGAACTTATTATTAAGGTATATGGTCGTTTCTGTACTTATAAAGGCAAAGAAAAACAGCCCACAGAAAACGAGATTAATGCTCTTTAAGATTATGACAACAGTACTTTAATTTTTTCTGGTGGTGTCATGGACACGGTATTATTATCTTATTTTAACTGACGTAATAATTCATGTAGATCAAGCTGTATACTGCAGAAGAGCAAATGTAAACTACGTAAGAGTATTTTAATTTTTTTCATTGCTCATTCATATTGTAGTTAGTCTCACAAACTCAAGTTCGATTTTTAGAGTTTATAGAGTCGAATAACCCTATAAAAAACCCTATAAAAACCTTATAGAATAGAATAAAAAATAAACAAGGTACCAGCTCCCAACGGAGCGGAGCTCTGTGACTATAGTTGATCTTTTGTGTGGCAACAGACCCTAACCGAACAGAAGGTATTCTGCCTTTCGAATGCAAGCCAGAATGTCAGCCGTTGAGAACCTTCTAATGTCGGAAGGCGAGAGTAGTGACATATAAGAACCTTATAGAGTCGATGAAACATCGTTCATAGTTCATAGTTCATGTCTTGAATAAGTACTTTATATAGAATTATAGAGACGGGACTATAATTTATCAATAAGTTATAATATATTGTATAAATCATAGCGATAGCTAAATGTTTATGTAATTAAATAGATACTCAGTATCTGGTGAAAAAATAAATCTTTTCCAGATCTTATCATACTGAGTATAATAACTTTTTTTTATAAGGTTAAGTTGGAGGTGTTACTTCAAAAACTAATAATCAACCGTTTTAATTATTTATATTCTCAGATGTTTTTGTTTTTTATTTTATTTAAGAGTCGACTTATTCGTGCACTCTCTATTTTTTATATGGTATCAAATAAAAAATTTTTCACAACGTCGAACAATTTTTTATATGGAGCTTTAAGTCACTTCTTCGTGCTAAATAGATCTTTGTATAAGGTTTTAACGAAAGAAATGCTTTGAAAAAAATATATTGCATTATATTTTATGCAGAAATCGGAAATACATAACTCAATATATAATATTTAAATCCACAAAATCCAAAATAAAATTAAAATTTAAACAATAAAAAAGCATTCATAGTATTAGTTCAACTTTCACATATCCATATCAAATAAAATATTGTAATTTCACTCTTAATATTTTTGTATTTTAGAAATAATGTAAGTAATATTATTAGAAAAAAAATATTATTTTTTATGATGAAACGAAATACTAATTAGTTACTCATATTTTTGGAATGTCTTAAGAATAAGACCAGATATTAAAGATATAACAGTTATCAAAAATACAAACAAGAATTAAATTTCGAAACATTGCTATCGAAATTTATATCTTAACAAACATTTATATAAATTATATTTCACACTTACACATCAGTTTCTCGCAACTCCTCCAGTATTTCTTCAAAATGCATTTTATTGGGTTTTTTCATTTCAGCTTCTAGCATTTGTCCATAAGGTCCTCTTAATGGTCGCTTAGAATATCGCTTGTTGAAATCATATTCACTCGATGCCGGGCTTGGGCTTGCATGTTCTCGTGAAGATGTCACAATACGTTCGCACTCATTATCCGATACTGAATCCATCCGTAGATATGGAAAAGTTTTATTATTACGCATTGACTTGCCACTACCACTACAATTGGATGCATCGTCCTTCTCCTCTGAACTTTGACAACTAAAACTAATTAAACGCTGATCTTTGCTCCAAACCGGTGCTCTATTACATTCCGAATCTGGCGTATTCAAATCAAAAGAACACATAGAGCCAGGTGTGCGAGTATCTTCAGCGGTTGGGCTACTTAAAAACATCAGCGCACATTCTTCAGGCGAATCTTGTTTGATTGAATTCAAGTTTGCTATGTTTATGTCCAAAGCCAAACCCTTGTTGTGCTGCGCTGCTTCAGCCCAATCTTCATTTTCAATATACATGCCTTTACGTCGCTTTGACTTATCAATACGTTTACGTTCATCTGCGCTGTAACGCGTTGTAATACCATCGAGTGATGTGCGCTTCTCTTTACCTATATCCATGTCATCATGACTGTATCGTTTCTTTACCTCGGGGTAGTCCAAAGATTGTTGACGCCTCTCAACCACAACAGGACTTTCCATTTCTTTCTTACGCAAAATACTCTTATCATCCGCCTCTTCAGATGAACGACTTACTGATATCCTGGGTACTACATCAGCACGTTGATCAGGTATTGCAGTCGTTTCTGCGACCACACAATCCTCCAATGATATTAGTGGTGTTATAGTTTCAGGCACTAAGCCAAATTCTTCAGGTGCAACTTCTACCCATTCTTGAGGGGGATTTTCTAATCTCCAATCTTGTGCTGCACATTCATAAACTGGTACCGGTATAAGACATGTAGTTGCGGTTTGCAAAAAGTTATCTGGTGGCGATTCTAAAGGCATTTGCTCTTCCATTAAAGTAGCCAAATTTGGAGCAATACATGTAGGTGCTGTGCTTCCTATTGTGATGTTTTCCGACATTATGTTTATACTGCCTTTTGAAAGATCAGTTTGTACAATTTCAGCTGCGTTAATGTGCACTTGATTTGTTGCTGCTGTAGCTAATTCAGATGTTGCTTCGACTAAATTACCTGCTTCAACCGTAACTGGTAATTGAGTTTCATCGATAGTGTAATCATTTTCAGATTGTATTGTGTCTGTGAGGGATTCCATCTTTGCATGTGCTACAATATTACTATTCAGTATAAATTCTCTGCTTAAATCATCAGTAACACTGGGAGTCTGTTCGGTATCGGTATTAAAAATATCTTCCTCAGGTATGCCATCAGGTGATTCAATAACGTCTTCTAAGCACTTACCCTCCTGACTATTACTTAAATTGATACTTAACTCTGTTCTTTTTAAAGGTATATAAATCCAATCAGGTTCTGTTTTAGGTTTCTCACACTTCACCTCTGCAGCATCTTTTTGCTCAGGTACAATCACATTAGCATTGCCAACTATTGAGTTGGTTGGACTTGTCGACTCTATCGCTTTATCACGCCGTAAACGATCTCGCAATATGCTTAAAGCGGACCTTTTAAATTTACCGGATGTTAATTCGATTTGCGAAAACGATGCTGAACGAAATGGTATACCCTTCTGTGCGTATGAACCGATTACCGTACGCGATTCTGGTCTGGACAGTTTCGTATCTATGCTCGTACTGACTGCCAGCTCATGTTTAGCCTCTGCAATGGGTGGCGGTGATTTTGATTTCTCTCTGCCCAACATCAATAATTCGAAGTTCGATAAACTTGTATTCGGTTTGAGTGTATCGTAAAAGCGTGTCGCAGTGGAGGAACGTGGCGAAGTGCTATTACAATTAAGATCAATGGCAGCATTTTTTGTATTTATATTATGCTTCTTTGCATTATTCATGGTTGCTGTGTCAGTGGTTGGCTCATCTTGATCCATCAGTATTATATCATCTCCATGCTTCGACATAAATGACAGTGGCGTGCTATCGATTGCAGCTGTATTTATTGCTGTTGTATGTGTGTCACTTCTCTCAAAGCTATTCGATGCAGATTGTGTGCCACTACGTGGCTTTCGTGGCGGGGGCACTGGCGGTGGTGTAGGAGATGATCTATTGCCGCGCAACAGTTCTGTTAATTCTTTTAATCTCTCTGATTTCTCCGAAGATTTGCGATTTCTTTGTGACCCGCCACTGCCATCTTGCTGCTGTGCTGTCGTACTGGGTGATGACTTGCGCCCAAATCCTAAACGTTGAAAACGATCCAAGGTGTTGCGGCGTTTCTCCATATTACACTAAATATAAAAAAAATATAATTTAAATTAAAAAAATTAAAAAATTATTGAGTTAATATATAACACAAAATATATTGAGTATATATCAGAAATTTCTCTTCAATAAATTTATTTATGTGCTCTTCGTTAAATAAACAATCATTAAAATTACAAAAAAAGGAAATTAAATCAAATACCGAAAATGTATTTCATTCTGAAATTCGCTACAGAATTTCCACACAAAAATACACAACGAAAAAAAATTTATATACACTTGCAATGCAAAATAAAAACAAAATAAAATCGTGAATTATATCGCAATATCTCTTCTATATAATACAGAAACACACATTATAAAACTGGTACCGATTTTGAAAGAAACACTGCGTTTCTGTTTCAAAAACAGAAAAAATTAATTCGAAAAAAATTTCTTTTTAATTTAAACACTGGTCTGCCCGAATGACTTATTTAAATAACAGTGGAACAAATCGCTGAAAATGGTGATATTTTTTTGCTCATATGCAAATATAAGTTTGGAAATATAAAACATTTGAAGTCTCATATTGACATATAAGACTTGTGATTTATTAAATCTAGTGAACTACAATATTTTGAGTACTATGAGATGATATAAATAATTATTAAATAAATAAATAGATACGAAAGAATATAGGTCCAAAGTACAGCGGAACACTACTACAATATTGTCTTTCATAAAGGTCACTCTCTTTTTAGAGTGGAGATCAGAATTTTTCTTGTTAACAAGATTGAAATAGGATAATACTTAAATAGAGACATAAAATTATTTCATTTATCATAAACGAAAAAATCGTCATATATATCGTTTGCAGATCTTATTAATGTTTTCCCGTAGAAAATTATAAAAATGGAGATTATAATGGTTATTACATTAAAAATCGGAACTTCAATATATAACGAGTTACTCCACACATAGTTATTGATGAAGACTTGGATACTGCCTTGTATGAAGCATTATGTGGTATAGACAATAGGTTGACTCCACTATAGAACCCACTATTCTCTGACCAAATTGAATCTTCTTCACGGAAAACACATAAACTAACTTTCACATCCATTTATTCAACAGATGAATCTGACTGCGGAGAGAAGCCTATCACTCTGTCTGCTAATACTGAAAATTTTGTAAGTGAAATACAATAGAGTAGCCAGCTATTATAACGTTATAACGTTATATTGAAACAGTCAATAGATGATAACCGGTGTTAACAATTTGATTCAGTTCCAGAACTACCGGATCATATTATCTTGAACTCTTATAATAAAACCAAGCGAATATTTAAACAGACATAATGCTGCATGAAAAGCTGTACACCAAAGCCTTGTATACAAGCATAGGAAACCATGCCACCATGTTGATTATTGATAGGACAATTCATTCTGATTGATATTTCTGTTCCACAATTTTTAAACATAAAAACTCTACAGAAAAAATGAGCAACTACATTTGATTGGCTCGGGCAAGAAAAAAAATTTATACACTTAAACGAGTAATTGTATAATTATTAGGCACTCGAATTGTAACTAAGATTTTAAATCAATGGGCATATTCAAATTTTCGAAGCAATTACAATCTACCTGAACAATTACAATCTAATTTTATATTGTTTTATAATTCAGTGTTCCATAGAAAGCCATATTACTTAACAATATAATATCTTATGGTTTCTAGTAAATCTTATGGTTTACATTCTTCTCTATTATTCAGATACGTCATCAAGTTGTGACATATCCATTCTCTTTTCTTAATTCCCTCTCGATATGCACATCCGTTTTAACTAAATAGCTTTTAGCCAAAAAACTAACATATAGAATTAAGATATTTGTTCAAAAACTTTGTGATTTCACGTGCAACATTTCCGAACAAATACTAGTGATAAAAGTTCGAATTTGTGTCCGTCAAACTGAAATTATGCAAGTGGGACGTGTGTTGTTGCCTTTTCTTCTTCTATTATCTTCTCCCAATGGAGTATAAATCTCCACCATCCTTTTGTATCGAACTCTATTGAGTGCTTCTTAGCCGACTTCAAGTATAATAATCAACATCACCTAATTTTTCTAAAAGGATTTAGTGGATCCTTTCTCTGTGCATTCAGTATTAGTCATTCTTAGCACTCAATAGCAAGTAACCGTGTCTTATCCATAGATATATTTAGTACTTATTGCTATGCTGGCATTTTACTATAATATAGATTTTTAGCAACTTCGTTCATTTTTAAAGAAATTCAACAATTTGACAAGCATCTACCCAAGCGTTTCATTATAAAAACGTCAATGGCTTTCTGAAAGTTGATAAATAACATAAATAAATAGAAATTGCTGAGCTGCTAACTTCGCAATCATATCGTGTAAAGAACTTTTATGATCACTATATGAGGGACAGGTCGGTAGTCAGGTCACTTCTTAGTAATAAATTATTAGTAATAAATATTATGCGGTTAGGAGTAATGCAAGAAGAACTTTTTGGTTAGTATTCAACAACGTAACACCACACAGTGGCTGCAATGGCTTAAGTAACCTGAACGATCACGTCCACACCATATTGTTAATAGGAAATTGCTTAAAAATGCAATTCTAAAAAATCTGCAAATTATCTAATGTGGACCAACAACATTAAATTGAAGTAATTTTTGTAAATTATTTTCAAACAATAAAAATAATGATTTTAAAAGAAGAAAGAAAATTTCTATTAATTCAAAATAATTTTATATAAAGATATATATTCATAATTATAATAATTTATACTAAATTTTTAAAGCACGTTTTAGTGAAAAGAACTTAATTCTTAATATAAACTATTGTTTTCAATAAAGAAGTATTTCGAACAGTAGTAAACTACAACAATATAATTTTATTATTTATTAATAATGGGCTTCAAATTTGGTAGGGCACGTGTTCAACCATCGGTACTTGAAATATCAATAAATTATTTGCAACTAATTAAATATTAAAAATAATTCCAAAACCACTGATGATGGATATTTGGCAATTCTCGAAGCAGTATGGTCAGCCAAAAATTCAATTAATTAATGAATAATAAAATTTTTTTGTTATAATAATTTCTGTAATTTTACGATAGTTTTTGATAGATTTGCACCACTGTGCTCAAAATTTTTTATATTTAAAACATCAACAACCAAACACGTATGCATCGGTATTTTTAGTATAAATAAAAATATACATGCAAGCGTTATACACTCATTCCCAACGAAACTGTCAGATTGAATCTATATTGAAAACTCATACAGTACACATTTTCCCATCACGAATTTCCACGGGTTTCCTTCAAACACTTTTGTAGATAATTTTTTCTTAATTTTCTGTTTTTATTTTTTTTTAATTTTTTTAAAATTTTTTTTTGTTTTTGAATTTATTGAAATTTTGTATTTTTAAAAGAAAATTTGTGCTTTTTGCGTAAGCACGCAATTGGTTATTCACAAAATAATATTACTTAGCAAATATGTTATATATATGTAAATACATTTATGTATTTATATATGCATACATTATTTATATATACGTTGTCGTATTTTTGTATATACAATAGTATATTATCTTTTTCTGACTTTATATTCTATAAACAATTTTCCACATAAATATATATATATAGATTAATAAATTTTGTAGGGTTTTGCATTAATAATGTGACTAAAAACATTAATAAATATTTTTAAAAAGCTACTTAAATAAATTGTCAGTGACTAAGTTCCCAAAGTATTTAAATGATCTGTGTGTACAATATATATATATATATATATATATATATATATATATATATATATATATATATGCAAAAAAAAAAGTAATATTTTCAAACAAAATTACACATAAAGTGAAATTCTTTATTTTTCTGATTTATTTATATTTTTATTAATAATCTTTCTTTTTATAAAACATTCACTAAATTTTGTTATTAACATGAGTTTTGGGGTAATTACGAATTTCTTTCTTATACTCCATTTTTGGTAATACGATGTAATAATGTGGAGCGTTTAGACTTCTTTTATCTGCTATCTAATTAATATACATCATTTGAAGATTAATAAACTCAATTTAATAAATATGTATATCTAATATTGTAATAACAATAACCATACATAATAATAAAATTATGTTTTTAGGTTGGCGCAAAAGTATTTAACGGTTTTATGTGGTAGTCTAAATTAAATACTTTTTTATTTTCTATTTACTAATCAAAATATACCATTTGATCAAAAAAGAACGAGAAGTTAAAAAAACACAAAATTTTAATTTTTAATAATTTTCTTTATTATCGCCTTCAAAGTACTCTCCTCCTGCGACAATACATGTAGGTATGCCAACGCCTGATCCAATTTTCCATACAAGTTTTATAGGACTCCGAAGGTATGGTCTTTAGTTCACGCAGCGAATTCTCTTTTTTGGCCTCTGTGGTCTCAAAACGCGGTCCTCGTCCTCGTCCTCGGCAGTTTAATTGGGGGAAGAGGAAAAAGTCACACGGGGCCTTATCTGGAGAGTACGGTGCTTGGTTGATGATATTGGTGGAGTTTTTGGCACAAACTGCGACACAACCAACGCTGTGTGAGCCGGTGCGTTGTCGTGGTGTAAAATCCATGAGTTTTCCTTCCATAAATCTTGCTTTTTTTTGCGAATGGCCTTACGCAAACAACGCATAGCGACAAAATAATACTCCTTATTAACCGTTTAGCCGTTTGACCATCCAGAAGAAATTCATAGTGCACAACACCACGAATATCGAAGAAAACAGTCAGCATATCCTTGATTTTAGACCGACTTTAGCGTTCTCTTTTCGGTTTCAACTCACCTTCGAAGCACCATTCGGTCGATTGTTGTTTGGTGGGTGGTGGGCATGTCAAATTCATAGACCCATGTCTCATCACCAGTTATGATGCGTTCGATGAATCTGGGGTCACTATCTGTGTTGAAAATCATCTCTTTGGCCATATCACAACGACGCTTTTTTTAAATTCAGCTAAAAATCG